ATTGAGCCCTTGGGGGACGCCTAACCAGGGACCCAGGGACCCTGCCTCTTGGACCTCGCGACACACCTATAGGCGAGGCGTGGGGAGAGCCCGGCTGCGGGACGAGAACCGCCTAGTGGGCTGGTAAAGCGTACTGAACCAACACGCGCCAGGCCCACTGCAGGGTGTGTAACTGACACTCTCCTGTGCCACCCCGGTGACGACACGGACACGGGCCCCAAAGGCCTATGACATCAGCCATTCTAGACCTCTCCTGGAAGAGAGCAAGACTCAAGAAATGGGTGAGGTTTTGCAAACCTGGCTCTGGGCCCGGAAGCCTGTGTGAAGGGCGTGTTCTGTTTGAGGGCTGGGCTGGAGCCTCCTCGGTGGCTCCCTGGAGATGTGGAGAGTCCAGCCTAGGTCAGCCACAGGGGTGGCCACAGAACGAGGGCTGCAGCCCAGGCTGGGCGCATGCCGGCCTCGCGGAAGCGGTACTGGGGCGAACGGGGCTGAGCGATGGCTCACATGGGAGAACAGACGCAGGACGTCTGTCCTCCCCGAGCCACACACCTGCATTCAGACGCAGGGACACTTTGCTCCACATCATGTCTCAGCAGAGCCCATCCCTTGCGGCCAGAGCGTGCAGGGCACTGGGAACACTAAGGGGTCACAGTGCACACTGCCCCAAGCGGGGATGACAGGCTGCCTAGGTCGGGACAGCCTGGGGGGCTAGGGCACTGGAGGGAGGGTACTTTGGGCAGTGGCAGTGGGGCCACATGACCTTCAGGAGAGAACAGGCAAGTCAGGAGAGCCAGGAGGTGGGCACAAGCCCCAGCTCTCCCAGGTGGGCTGAGCCATGCCCTCGGCCATGAGGGACATCCACCTGGCCCCGAGCCCAAGGCTGCGGTCTGGAGGGCAGCGAGAAGCACAGGGGCGGGGCCTGGTGGAGGGAGGCAAGGAGGCTGGAGGTCTCTCCATTCCAAGCAGACTCCCCTCAGCCCTCTGCTTTGGTCTTCTAAAAATGTGCCTGCCCCGCCTGCCCCTCCCGGAAGGGACAGATGTCGGGGAAGCTGATTACTGTCAGAGGCTGGAGGCTGTGACCGGAGCGCTGAGCATGACCCAATTCGGAGCTATTCTCAGCCTGGTGGGAGCCCAGCTATTCCCTCCCGCCGCAGCCACCGCTCCGGAGGCAGACTGACTTTGAAACGCCCTCGGCCTGCCCCCCCACCGCCAAGCTGGGCCACGTAGGCCCCTGGGCATGGAGACTGGACCTGAGGAGGGCAGGGCCACCATGTGGCACCCACTGCAGACTGCCCGTCCGCATCCAGAGCCCAGCCCAACACCCGGGTCTGCCGCGACCTGACCTCAGCAGTGACGTTCCTGGAGGCTCAGTGGCACCGTCCCGGAAACGGGCTCAAGTGCGGTGTCCCCAGATCATGCCTGCTTCCACCCCTGGCGTCCTGCCTATGAGCACGCAGGACCCCTCAGGGCCCGGGGGCTCCTCCTCTCCCCCTCAGACCAAAGGCCTGTGAGGCTCAACCCTGGCACCCGAGAAGGGCAGGAGCCACCAGCCACCTCGCAGGAGCAGAGGCCAGCAAGAGGGTGGAGGCGGACGGCTGCCCTCCCACCCGGGGCTCGCGGGTTACTTGTTCCACTGCGTCACGGCACATGACTAACACATCTCCCTGAGAGCCATCTTCCTGGCCCGCCCGGACAGCACTCCATCACAACGGCAGAAACCCAGACGCCGGCTTCAAACCTCTCCCGGGGTCCCGATGAAGTACGCGTGTCCCTAAAGGTGCAAGGGCCTCCAAGCGGGTCCCATCGGGCTCCTTGGGGCGGCAGCAGCTCCCACCCCATCAGAGCATCCTGCAAAGCTGTCCCGTGGGGCAGGCCGAGGGCGCTGAAGGAGGGCACGGTCCGGGCAGGCCAAGGCTCCTGCAGGGCTGTCCTTGTGAGGACAGGCCGCCGGCACTAGCCCCTGCCTGAGGGCCAGCCGAGACCAGGTGGCCAACTC